CTCACTTTTTCTATTTATTTTAGTATCTCTATGCTGAAGAGCAAGTTTCAGAACTTCTTCTGACATCCATTTCAGTCTCAAATATAAGATGAACATCTTCATGGATAGAACAAGATAGAATCACAGAGCCCATGATTTTGACAATGTCAGGATTTGGCACCTATAGGATGAATTTGATAAGAAGTGTTCTGTTGAGATGGGAATGGCTAATTAACTGTATTTGAAGCTAGAGGCTGACTTTATTCTAGTTCGTTCATAAATAAGACTGGACACCCTTGTTCCCTTTGTCCTCACATATACACAGTTCACAGTTACTTTATTGTTAGATTGTTAAGTGTCATTGAGTCAGTTCCAGATCATAGCAACACAGTATAGGGTTTTCAAGGAGCAGTTGGTGAGTTTGCGGTTCAAACAGCCTTGGGGTCTAGAGCTTATTCTACAGCACCACACCAGGACTCCAATGACAACGGAAGAAGATGGAGTTAACCTTATAAACAATTTTTGACCCAAGCCTTCTCTTTGCTCATGACTAGACCCACTCATATCCCCAATATTACTTTAGGGAAATCATTTGTAACTGTTATTTTAAACTCTAGTTCTAAATTGAGAACCAAGTGGGCAGAATGGAGGCAATTCCTAAATCAACCACAAGAGGGAGGAAATATAGGCACAGAACTAGAGATAGGAGGGAAACAAGTCAGTATCCCAGTTTTAAGATGCACTGTGAGCCTGCCTGTGAACCAAATTTTCAACAAAAAAAAAAAGAGAAAATAATGAGGTTACTGATAAGAAGGCTGCTACCCAGCTCAATTACTAGAAAGAAACTTACTTAAGTAGAAATTAATATTTTCTGGAAGATTTTGGCAAAACCTCCTAAAATAATTTTGTTGAGAAATTAATGACAAGAGGTGATGCTTTCATTAAAAAGGATCAAGAAATCATTAACTGAAAACAGGCAGAAACAAAATAAGAACAAGTAAATATGGTTTCTACATTATAGAAACCTTATAAATGAAAAATGGTATG